ATATTTCCCACTGTGTGTTTGTGTTGTACATGGTCGAAATATGCAGGCATTTCACCTGATGGTGGTAAAACCTGTTCAGCTTTTTCTCCCACTGAAATGAAACTTAGATCATCTTCAATGATTTAATAACTGATATAATAATGTGATGTAAAAATAATTCTATTTTTCAGTTTTCTTACATTTTATAGAACATTAGTTGAGAAGATTAACACTAAAAATAATAATTATCTCAGTTGCAGCCCTAAACTTGTGTTCCGAGAAACAAATGTAATCCAGTTACAGGTTTAAAATGAAGGAGAGCTCAGAAGGAGCTCACACACCCACATCAGTGAGATGTTTCCTTTCATTTAGTTCAAACTGTCACACACCAGCACTGGGGGGTAAATGCACAGATGTCTCCGCTCTGCGTTCTTCAGTGTACAAGAGTCCTTCAGTTCTGTGCTTCTCAACTTTCCACTAATGATGGATGTCAGTCAGCTAATTACCAACAGGTGTGCCAAGTGCGGACCTGGAATCAGAGGCGTCCTCAGGTTTGCCTCAGAAAACTTTACATGACTCCTTACAACATTCTGCCCTACTAGTCTAACCACCAAAGTGAATTCACAACCACTTTAGTAGCTGTTTACTTGTGTGATTTGGAATACTGTCTGTGATCTGTGTATAGTTCTGTGAACATGTGTACGGTTGCTTCAGGAAGGACGACCATCTCAGCAGCTCTCCATCAATCAGGCCTGTATGGTAGAATGGCAGGACAGAAGACACTGTGAGTAAAAGACTGATGGAGCTGCTTGGACTTTGTTAAACAGCATTTAAAGGACTCAGAGAACGAGGAAAAAGGTTCTCTGGTCTCAGGAGACAAAAAGAGTAGAGCTTCAGAGTGCAGAGACCTGAGACTGAGGGAACAGTTCATTGTTCAGCACAACAAAGACCTGAAGCACACAGACAGGACGACACTGGAGTGGCTTCAGGACGACTCTCTGACTGTCCCTGAGGGGCCCAGCTAAAGCCCAGTCTTAAACCTCAGAGAACATCTGTGCAGAGACCTGAAGATGACAGTTCACAGACACTTCCACCCAATCTGATGGAGCCTGAGAGGATCTGCCAGACAGAATGAGATAAACTTTAATATAACCATGACACAAGGACACTGCTGTCCTGCTGCCCTGGATGACCAAGCCCTGCTGAGCTGCTTCAGCCTCACCTGAAGTGGTGGCCTCACCTTGTGCTGGTGGTTCGGGGCGGGGGCATCACCAGTACACTCCTGGTCCTCTGTTGATTTAACCCCCACCCCCAAATTTTCTTTAATAAGTATTGAATATGCATCTGCACAGAGGTGGACACACCTGCACTACACAGATTCACACACACACAACTTAATTTAATAATCCCTTTGTCTCTTTTGCTAATGTCTGTTGTCTCATCTTCTATGTTGTGTCCTTTGTCCTGTAAATGTGTTACTTTGTGTTGCAATGAAAGAATGAGATAAACTGCCCAGGTCCAGGTGTGCAAAGCTTGTAGAGACTTACCCAAGACATCTGGAAGCTGTAACTGCTGCCACATTCTACAAAGAACTGAATTCAATAGTAAAGGACAGTTTTTGATCATTTCATTTTTATTTTTTACAGAAAATGTATAATATCACTTTCACTTTGTCATTGTTGGCTATTGAGTTTAGTCTGTGTAAATCTGAAATTTAATTCTGAACAAAAAGTGAAGGGGTCTAGTCCTTTCTGAAGCTACTGGATGATTTAGTCTATGTTGTGCTGGTTGAACTCACCCTGCCTACAAAACAGAATGCCTCAGTTATTTTACCAATAGTGTCAATAAGCACAGCACCAGACCTGTTGTACTTGGTGATGTGAATCTGTAGATGCAGGCAGCGATTCAGTAACCAGGAAACAACAGTAACATTTTTCCAATGTTTCATATGTGAAGACTGAACGACGGCATGCACAGTTGATGTATGAATTCATGGAGATAGATAAATGATATACCTTCAGCTTAGATAAGCACAAACTCTGTTGCTGTGGCAACCTATTGACCAACTGTATAAGACAGCTGCAGCTACGTCAACAGAAATAAGGACGATAAGAAAAAAACCCAATAATCCCTGGCCCTCTCCAAAGTGCTGATGTGCCACAGTGTGGGACTTTGCTGAGATTTGCTCCATGCACGTAGCTATTTATACCCCAGGCTGGGCAGGAGTGAGGTTGTGGGAGCGGAGGAAGGAGAACTATGCAGAGGCTGTCGCCACAGAAAACTCTACAGCATGTTGGAGATGCTGGGGATACTGCAACTCACTGTCGGTCAAGTTTACACTGAGCAGTCATTCTCCCAAAAAATGTATTCTAAAGAGGGTCAGCAGCATTCACAGGGCCGAGACTGGAGCACGGGCCACTGTGCTACTTGTCATCCTGACTTTTACTCAAGCAAACATAAACCCAGATATTCTTCCAATATTCTTATCTTGATGTTACAGAAACATCCTCCCTCTCGATCATGCGGGGTTTATCTGTCAACAGGTGGTCCCTACTACAAATCTTTTTACACACACCTCCATGACTCTCTCTGTGTGGGAACATTCCACAGGGGTCTGGTTCCACCCCCACTAAGATAAACTGGAAATGTGACCCACCTGCAAGCAGAGTACGGCTGCAACCCTGGCGCTGAAACCTCCTCGACACTGGAGACAAGCTGAAACTCAGCTTGGTTAGCATCAAATTCCTGAACGACACCGCCTCACACCATAACATGAATGAAAGCAGGGAAATAACTGTAAAAGGTGTGAGCTGCCGGTCCCTCAACTGATTAGTTGATTAATCTAAACCAATCATTTTCATCCAAGAATGTATTTCCCAACAAACCACAGACTATATAAAAGAAGGCACGAACACAGTAGTCACACTGGCACAGTCAGTCAATGTAGAATATGCCTGAACATTTTCTCATACATGTATTAAGTGAAGATTCTGAGGCAGCAGGCAGACGATGGTTTTAACAATGGGTTAAGTGGCTACAAGGACAAAAGAGATTTAAACAGAAACATAAATACAATAAACAACAGTTACAGTGGGGTTTATGGCAAGCCATCAGGCTCAGTGGTTGTGCATGTTAAGATGTGCACGTTAAGATGCTCAGTGGTGCTTCAGTGCCAATGACTGATCACTCCTGGCCTATGGTCCTACGTATGCCTACATCAGGGCTAGTAGGGTCTGACAAAGATATACACACCGTGGTCCCATGATCTCATGTAGACTCCCCATGGGTATGCTGAGGCATCTATTGATCATGTGACTTCATATACAGTTTGGAACCATCCACTGAGCGTGGGGTAGTATATGGATACCTTTGGCACACCTCTGCATTACCATGGACGTGCCAGTACAGAATCCATGTGACCTACTTTTCTGGCAGTTCATTATCCAGAATAGCACTTGTGCGTCCTTTCGCACAGTGCGAGTGATGCTGTGGTGTGCTAACAAAACTACTCCCGTACTTTCAAAGCCTGGGGTCTTTTACCTTGAACCTCGTTTGTAAACAAGATGTTTTCCACTGACTATGTCGCAGCCGGCATGGTTTTCTAAAACTGGACCTGACCAATGACTGGACCCAAAATATGAGCGACCTTAGCACACAGATGGTGACCTCATGTGGATTTTACTGGCAGCTGGCGACCAGCTAGTGATGGTGAAGAAAAACGTTTGCTTTAATGAATGATTGAAGCCTTTTCTAAGTCAAAATGTTCACAGGAAAAAAATCAAGGCATCAGTTAAAAATATTGATGTCGATGCATTTTCCAAGTTGATATAATCGATTACGTCAACTAATCATGGCAGCCCTAGAGCAAACTCTCTGCTCAGCACCGTCTATCAACTGCAATCCATTTACAGTCTGAGCAATCGCTCAAAGTGACTCAGCCTGCGGTCCAGACTGTGATCACGGGTCTCTTCCAGGTAAGACACGGCTTCACAAACTCCTCCAAACAACTGGGCGCAGCTCCACGAGCCACAGATGTCAGCCAGAGAGAGACAGTCAACTGCAGAGGATGAGCATGAGTTTAGAAACAGAAGGACACATTCCATGAGGGTAGGGCTTTGGCACTTGTTCCACAGTATTACACCTCACCGTGTCACACACAATGACATCTGCAAGCTCACACGAACAAGGCCACATGTCATGTAGTGAGAGATGTGCAGCAAAGCAGATAAAACCCTGACAATGTTTGTACAAATCACACTTCTCTCTTTCCACAAACACACAGACTCATTGATATTGAAAATAATTGTTAGCTGCAATATCTCAACAGCATGTGATGATTAGGCTGTATCTAAGGAACTGTATGGAAATTACTGGGCTGGCATTTTTAACACCCTGCCCAGCATTAATGTCTTATCTGATCCTATCATTGACTCAGCAAGCAAACAAACTAAACACATCCTCCAGCTAATATCTCAAAATATGAGTTAGTACAACTCGTCTGACCATGAATAACTTTTTAAAAACCAGTAAAGTAATAAAGAATCTCAAATGGTGATGCAGAAGAAAGTGAAGAACAAAATGGCTTTTGGCAGGGATACAATTTAATGAGATGGAAAAATAAATCCACGAAAGAGAGACAAGACTGTTGTCGCAACATCACGGCCCACTGTGCAGAGAGACACCTGTTTGAGACTGATTCCCCTCTTTAAAATATTTTACACAACACTTAAATATCACTTGGGGTTCTCATAAATGATGGCGCTTCTCTGCTCTCCAAAAAAAGTCAGACTACTCTAGATTGACAAAAAGAAAACACACACAACACTCCCCCCTAATCATTTGTCTACAGCCCCTAGGTCTTCTTATATATATCCTCCTAGGAAACTTGTTTAAGAAACTTGAAATATTGTAAGACTGAGAGGGCCACAGTGCGTGAAAATGTGGAACTTTACGTGGATGACTCCACAAGTTGAATGACTGAGTCGTGAACGAGGAGGGCTCCACTGGTGGAAATACATAATAACAAATGTAAAATATAAAACAGCCTAATCATACTGTCCCACTTGCACATCACGACGACGTTCAGCTACAGTACGTCTTCTTAAAGGCATCAGGTGCGCTTACTTCAGTTTTACTCAGTCTTACATCATATCATAATAAAATCTGTTGATACATAGACCCATAAGCTATAAATGATTTGTTTGAATTTATGTTAAAAACCATCCTATATCAGGCCAAAATAATAATGCGCCGCTGAACTGCCCGAGTCCGATGTAAAACTTACCAGTCGACTCTGTCACGGGTAGAAATGGAGGGTTTTTCACCGCCTGCACCAATCCAGCGGGTATGGATCCGCGCTTTCACACTCCGGACATTTACCTTCAGTCAGTCCGATCATACAGCCAGCCAGCAGGGTGACGATAGGCCAGGTGGTGGGAAACAAACAGCGAAACACAACAACATAATGTGAAAGTCAGGAGAAATACGAGCCATCAGTGCATCCGCTTGGCTGTACACTGGCAGCAGCAGCGCGTCCAGGGAAGCGCTGCTCGGTATGAGGAGTGATCAGTGCCACTCAGAGGAGGAGGCAGGAGGAGCATGATGACTTACCATTCTAGGGTTTTCTATGGAGGAGTCTGCCTGTGTAAGCCTATCAAATACACGAGATCATGAAAAATAGCACCAAATGTTTCGAGATATTTAGATAATCCTGGATGGCTTCCGCAGATACTCTTATAGGGAAGCATCTGTATTTATCTGCCATTAATTTGAAGTTTGAAGGCTAAGGGCCAGTATATGGTCTCTCAGAATTTGTTCATGAAAGATACTGTCCAACCACCAAATTAAATCAGGTCCCAACAATTTCCAGTGTTGTGCCAAACTCTATTTGAGAGATGTTTCCCATAACCTGAACCTGACCTCATCCTAACAATAACCACTGGAGGGGTTGTACTGAAAACACAGTTTTAGCAGGAGGAATCTCATCTTGAAGGGGGACCAGATTTCGACTCAAGACCAGATTTGTCTTTTCGAACATGTAACACACAACAGGAAATTGCCCATGTCAGACACATTCCCCACTTACTAGAAATAATCCATTTAGTTTATGTGAGGGGTGGCACCTGGGAAGAGTGGGTAGGAGGCAGGATATGACAAAGTACATGGTCACGTAGCCGGGACATTTGGTCACAAACAACCAAATCCCTTGAATTTCATAGATGATTTTGGCTTTGGCCCTTAACAACAGAAGTTTCCAAGTCCTATCGTCTCTCCACTTAGACATTTGTGTTGGTATCTTCATGTAAATAACCCTTCTTCTTCATCATCGGATGTTTGTATTCTTCCGGTTTCACACTATTGTACGAAGAAATGTCATCAACATGCCCATTAGCTCTGTGTGAATTATCTGAGACAATAACCTGCTTTACACACACATAGGCTCAATTGGATATTACAGGGACTTTATACCAGGGAGCTGGCAGTGCAAAGAGTGATTCAGACATTGTTCTCATATAGAGCTCCACCAGGTAATGTCAGGAGACAGTAGGTTCCAGGTTGCAGTGTTGCAGATCTGTTGGGCTTGTGCATCAATATATCATCACTAGGCCAGTCACCATATTGCTAGGCCAAGGAGAACTGGAAGAACACAACACAATTGTGTCTCTAGAACTTTGTTCTTTTTTTTTAACCTTTTCCCTGGACAAAGCAAAAATTAGACAACATGTCTTTTTACTGCTCTGAAGAAAAGGGGAGCGTATCCAGATGGCAGAGCTCACAATAAGACATCAACTTGCTTGAATGCTGGAAGACGACCAAATATTACATTTAGCAACATTCCAGTATTAGTGACAATGTGCTCTCTTTATTTTCACTGTGGGAAAATGAGGGGTTTTTTTCCACATCAGTCCTGATGTTCAGAAATGACTAATATGCTAAAGCTAAGCTAACGCAACAGAGCTGTGTCCATCACTGGTGTAGGAAAGCTATCAAATGAGATGTGTGGCTGGGTTCCCGCTCTGAAGTTAGGACAACATTTTGGTCGGCAGGCCAAAAGGGCAGTGAAGAAAGAGGCTAGAACCAAAACCCCATCTCTCTTCCTACCAGAGACACCACAGCCAGAAGTCACAGCATCTCTAAATTTTACACTGGTCTTGAATGCACGCCACTTTATGAGTTTGCAGGCATTCATCTCACCTGTTCTTACACAGGTCCCCTTTTCAAATGCTACTTTTCACACTGTCACACTTTATGCCTAACACTGTGCCAGTTACAATGTCTTCTCCTTTGTGAAGGAGAAGACCATACATTTTTGGACAAGTTTGAAATTGTTTGCTGTGCTTTGACAAATGTATGTTCCAGTGTTGTTATGCCACAGTCAGAGATGGAATGAAATTTGTATTCTCTGTGTGTCTACAAGCTTTTTTCCTTTTAGAGGTGTTTTGACAAACTGAAAGTGGCTGAGAGTTACTCATGTCTAATATTACCAGTTAAACTTATTCACATTTTGTATCACAATATTTGAACTGATCTCCTGTTGTTCTGTGTAACCACTTATCAAATATCAATATCTGGTCCTAAAATTTTGTACCAAAAGCATTTTAAAAGCATCAGTCATCGTATCAGTGTCGTACATGCACGTCTTGTAACAGATCAAAACATTATTTTATTGTTTGTATGTACCGTATGTGATTTGTGCGTTCAGGTGTTGTAAAAATAATGGGAAGTTGGTTATTGTAGTTTGGGCTGTTTAGCAACACAAGGTAGCAGTGTAACTCCGAGTCACTCCTAGTTAGTAGCTAGTTAAGCTATGGCAGTAAGGGACTCGGACACAGCTGTTCATTATGGCCAAGCAACTCTATTTTTGTCTCATCTGATCAGAGAACATTCTTCTAGAAGGTGAGATCTTTGTCACAGTGCTCATTTGTAAACTCTAGTCTTGTGCTCTTCTCCTAGTTTTGGAGTTGTAGCTTTCTCCTTGGGGAACAGTATTTCAGGTTGTGCAGAGACAGCACTCTTTACTGTGGATGTATACTACAAGTCAAAAGTTTGGAGACATTTTCCCACTGAATTTAATAGGATAGTGTGTCCAAATTTTAACTGGCAGTGTAGACTCTTGTTTTGTACCAGTGTACCTCCATCATCTTTACTTATTTATTGACTGTTGTTTTGGGATGCTTTTGAGCCTTTCATACCAAAATACTCCAGGAATCAGTATGGTCAGTTCACTCAGTTGGTTAGAGTGTGGTGCTAATAATGCCAAAGGTCGTGGGTTTGATCCTGTACAGACCCAGCTTCGTTATAGTGGCAACTGTGGTTGGATGGGTATATTGGTCAGTAGGTGGAAGACTGAATCACAGTCCCCACATGTCAAGAGCAATTGTGTGAGTTGGTGCCACAAATGGCTGCCCTGGTTTTGTACTGGAAACAAATTCCTTGTGTGTAACATACTTGGTCAAATAAAGTGATTATCCTTATGCATCTCCTTCCTAAATGATGATGAACATGGTGCCTTCCTGTTAGTGGTCGACTGGGTGATGCATCAGACAATTAAAACAGGAAAAACCGGAATCCAGTGGTCCCTGACTCAATTCCTTGAAGACCTGGACTTTGCGGACGACTTGTGCCTGATGTCCCAGAAATGCCAACATATGCAACAGAAAACCGATAGTCTAGCCCAAGAAGCTTCCAAGACTGGACTGCGGATCAACCTAGAGAAGACTAAAATCATGACCCTGTTAAAAAAAACAGCAGAAGCCAATCACCCTTAGAGACAGCGAGCTGGAAGAAGTCACCTCTTTCACCTACCTGGGCAGCATTGTATCAGCATCAGGTGGTTCTGACGAGGACATCAAAGCCAGAATCGGGAAAGCTAGACACGCCTTTATTAGCCTGAGACCAAGTCTGGAGGTCAACATCCCTATCTGTCCGCAATAAAATATGAATTTTCAACAGCAACGTTAAGTCTGTCCTTCTCTATGGCTCAGAGACCTGGAGAGTCACCAACACCCTAACCAACAAACTCCAAGTATTCGTCAACGGCTGCCTTCGCAACATACTGAAGATCAGGTGGACAGATAAACTAAAGAATACTGAATTGTGGCAGCGGACAAACCAAGATCCCATCAACCAGCAGATTGCCAGGCGTAAATGGCGATGGATAGGACACACCCTGCGGAAACCCTCACAGGACATCACCCGGCAGGCCTTGCAATGCGACCCTCGGGGAAAGAGATGGGTCGGTCGCCCTAAGACCACGTGGAGACGGTCCTGTGAAGAGGAAATGAAGAAGTGCAACCTGTCGTGGGGTGAAGTGAAAAAGGCTGCCCAGAATAGACTGCATTGGAGAGCTGTTGTTGAGGCCCTTTGTTCCACGGGGAACCCAAGGAGATAAGAAGAACATACTTGGTCAAATAAAGTGATTATCCTTATGCATCTCCTTTCTAAATTATGATGAACATGGTGCCTTCAAACACTTTTTTCCTAAGGTCTTGGCTGATATCTTTAGATTTTCCCATGATGACAAGCATGCACTAGTTAAGCTACTGCAGTGAGGGACCCAGACGCTGCTCCTGTCTATCCAGCTAGAGAATCTCTGTTCACTTATGATCAAAATAGACAAACTGTAGTTTGTTAATTGGACTAACTCTGACTTCTCATATTCTGCTGCTCTGTGCTTCACAGTTATTTGGCTCAGTGAATCTGTCTCAGACAGCACAATATGGCTGCCAGGGTTCCAGATCCACAGAGTGGACCACAGCGACCCCATGGTAAGGTCAAGTGGCACCACTCACTCAAGAAGTAGAAAGCTCAAGGATTCATACGAAGGAAGAATCATATAAGGATTTAAGCAGAACCTTAACTTAAACTCTCTTTGTTTGTTGTTGTTTTTGCCTTCTCCTTCCCTCCATCACCAGCACCACCAAGTGCTGCCTCTTGTGAAGGTCTGGTTTGTGCAGTGTGAAACAAGTTTTGCAAGAGGAACCTTTAGTTAAAGCTGAAGTCACACTACCAATAAGTTTGCCTCGGGTGACACCTGTGAAACAATGCATTCCCTGAAAGTCACAATAAGAACAGCCTGTCACAAATATCTGCAAGACAGAAGGTTCACAGTGATCTGCTTTGTCATAGAGTTGTTGCTGAAGGGATTTGTGTGACACTAATGGCTTAGCAGGGTTTGTTAATGGCTCCAAGTTGTGACTTCTGTGGACCTGTCTATGGGTCACACAAAGAGGGTGTTGTTGGTCTTTCACAGAGAACTTGAGGTAGCAGTTAAAAAATAAGTGTTTTACTAGTAGTAAAACCAAAAACTAGCTTCTAGCCCCGATAGGGTGACTATTTTCACTGACTGTGAAATTCACTATGCTAACATTAGCTGTATCACTGTGATATTTAAAGAATATGGTTCAGTCCAATATGCCCAAAATGTGTAAAAAGAAGAGTGCCAGCTGCTGTTCCGAGATCTCTCCACAGGAACTGTAAGGGATTTAGACCTGGACTCATTGCTGGCCACTTCAGAACTCTGCAGCTCATTGTCTGAAACCATTTCTGGTGCTTTCTGAAGTCTGCTTTGGGTCATTGTCCTGCTGTAAAACCCATGACCTCTGACAGAGAC